AAACATATGCTGCTTAGTTATTATTCTACTTTTTCTTTTCTTTTTTTTTTTTGTTTTTTAACGAAGGTTGGCTCTGTCTTTCCTGACGCTGAGTGCAGTGGCCAGATTTTTTTGTTTTTTTGAGAGGGAGTCTCACTCTGTCGCCGCAGCTAGAATGCAGTGGTGCGATCTCGTCCACTGCAACCTCTGCTTCCTGAGTAAGCCAATTCCCTGCCCTCAGCCTCCTGAGTAGCTGGACACAGCCACCACACACCACCACGGCTGCTAATTTATTTTGTGTGGTGTGTAGGTTTTAGTAGAGACAGATTTCACCATGTTGGCCAGGCTGGGTCCTTGAATTCCTGACCTCAGATGATCTCCTCCCACCTCCCAAAGTCCTGGGATTACACATAGCCACGACGCCTGGCCGAGCTGAGTCTTATCTTGACTGCCTGGGCACTGGAAGATGTGTTCAGAGCAGCCCTGGCCTCTGCGCCACTTAGATGGCAAGAGGACCCTCTCTGTGACAACCAGAATGTTCCTAGTCATGTGAAACGTCCTTTAGGGCAAAATTACATCCATTGGAGAACCACTGGCATAAGAACATGGAGTGTAGGCCGGGCGCGGTGGCTCAAGCCTGTATATCGCCACACTTTGGCAGCCAGAGCCGACTGACACCAGGTCAGGAATCCAAACATCTGAGCTCAACACGGTGGAAACCCCGTGGTCTCCTACTTTCAAAAATACTTTGCAAAAACTAGCCGGGCCGACCATGCGGGCGCCTGTAGTCCCCAGCTACTCGCGGAGCTGAGGCGAGGAGAATGGGGAACCCGGGAGGCGGAGCTTGGCAGTGACTGAGATCCGGCCATTGCACTCCAGCCTGGGCGACAGAGCAAGACTCTGTCTCAAAAAAAAAAAAAACAACAACAGACAACAAAAAAAAACCATGGAGTGTGAGGATGCACAAAAGGGAGGTGATGTGGGCTGGGAGAGGGCAGGCAGCCGGTGACACACACCAATGGTCAGGCTCACATCAAGGTCAGCTCTGCTAGGGGGTGCTCTGGGCATTTCCCATCTTTCTGTCGGGAAGCATTCGCCATGGTGTTGGAATGTGTCTCGTCGAAGTTCACGGTTGAAAACAATCAGCAGGGCTAGTGTCACGCCTGGTAATGCCCAGCACTTTGGGAGCCGGAGGCGGTGGATCACGAGGTCAGGAGTTCAAACAAGGCCTGGTCAAAATAGTGAAACCCTGTCTTTCTCACTAAAAATACAACAAAACTAGCCAGTCATGGTGGCACATGGCCTGTTAATCCCAGACTACCTCGGGAGGCTGACGGCAGAGAATTGCCTTCAAACTGGGAAGGCGGAGATTGCAGTGAGGGCGAGATTGTGCCATTGCACTCTGGCTGGGCAAAAAGAGCAAAAAGCTGGTCTCAAAAAAAAAAGAAAAAAGAAAAAAAAAAATGAAAAGAAAAAAAAATACACCAGGCACACACACAACACACACGACACACACCACACACACAGAGGTGGGGGGTTACTATGTTGGCCAGGGATCGGGCTCTCGACTAGCTCCTGCACTGCAACCTCCATTTCCCAGGTTCAAGTGATTCTCCTGCCTCAGCCTTCCAAGGAGCAAGGGTTACAGGCGTGAGCCTCAGTGCCTGGTCGGCTTGTCACAATAGCTTTATTATGTCTAAAATTTTGGTTAATGCCGTAAGCTCCTGGACTTTGCAGCTATTCAGCTACTGTTACTTTGAGTATCTTGTAGTTTTGGGAATGCACCCAGCTCATTCATCACGGGGCCTTTGCATAGGTTGTATCCTTGGGCCTGCTCAGGCAGCCTCTCACCCTTGGGCCTCTCCTGCCCCTCTTGCCAGGCATCTCCCACAGGTGCTGCTATTTCCCATTTACTTGTGTCTTCCCTCAGGAGGACAAGGATGGGGTCACCTTGTTCATCATCTCAGTTCCCCCTCCAACCTTTCCCCCCCACTACACAGCCTGGCAGTCAATGCTGATTTGGGAGAATGAACGACTGATTCTATTGGTTGAATGTTTATTTTATATTTTATGATTTTATTTATTTATTTATTTTCGATACAGAGTCTCACTCTGTCGCCCAGGCTGGAGTGCAGTGGTGCGATCTTGCCTCACTGCAACCGCTGCCTCCCCAGTTCAAGCAATTCTCTGTCTTAGCCTCCCAAGGAGCTGGGATTACAGGCATCTGCCACTACGTCCAGCTAATTTTTGTATTTTTAGTAGACGGGTTTCACTATGTTAGCCAGGCTGGTCTCGAACTCCTGACCTTGTGATCCACCTGCCTCAGCCTCTCAAAGTGCTGGGATTACAGGCGTGAGCCACTGCGCCCAGCCAGTTATTTTATTTTATTTAGTTTTTTGAGACGGAGTCTTGCTTTGTTGCCCAGGCTGGAGTGCAATGGCACGATCTCAGCTCACTGTAACCTCTGCCTGCCGGGTTTAAGCGATTCTCCTGCTTCAGCCTGTTTACAGGTGTTACAGGTGCCTGCCACCATGCCTGGCTAATTTTTGTATTTTTTAGTAGAGACAGGGTTTCACCACGTTGGTCAGGCTGGTCTCAAACCCCTGACCTCAGGTGATCCACCAGCCTCAGGCTCCCAAAGTGCTGGGATTACAGGTGTGAGCCAGGGCGCCCAGCCTATTTTATTTCATTTTGAGACGGAATCTCCTTGGTCGCCCAGGCTGCAGTGTGGTGGTGCAATCTCGGCTCACTGCAACCTCTGCCTCCCAGGTTCAAGCGATTCTCCAGCCCCAGCCTCCCAAGTAGCTGGAATTACAGGCGCCCGCCACCAAGCCTAGCTAATTTTTGTATTTTTTTTTTTTTGAGATGGAGTCTCTCTCCGTTGCCCAAGCTGGAGTGCAGTGGTGCGATCTCGGCTCACTGCAAGCTCCGCCTCCCAGGTTCACGCCATTCTCCTGCCTCAGCATCCTGAGTAGCTGAGACTACAGGCGCCCGCCACCATGCCCGGCTAATTTTTTTGTATATTTAGTAGAGACGGGGTTTCACCATGTTGGCCAGGATGGTCTCGATCTCCTGACCTCGTGATCCGCCCGTCTCGGCCTCCCAAAGTGCTGGGATTACAGGCTTGAGCCACCGCGCCCGGCCAATTTTTTTGTATATTTAGTAGAGACGGGGTTTCACCATGTTGGCCAGGATGGTCTCGAACTCCTGGCCTCAAGTGATCCGCCCTCCTCGGCCTCCCAAAGTGCTGGGCTTACAAGCGTGAGGCATCCCGGCCGGCATTTAAATTTATTTTTGAGGAGGAGTACGCTCTGTCGTCTAGACTGGGTGTGGTGGCATGATCTCGGCTCACTGCAACCTCTGCCTCCCCGGTTCAAGCGATTCTCCTGCTTCAGCCTCCCAAGTTGCTGGGGTTACAGGCGCGCGCCACCACAACCGGCTAATTTTTTTGTAGAGATGGGATTTCACAATGTTGGCCAGGCTGATCTCGAACTTCTGACCTCAGGTGATCCGCCCGCCTCGGCCTCCCAAGGTTCTGGGATTAGAAGTGTGAGCCGCCCCTCGCCGGTTGAACATCTGAAGCTTCTAAAGCGAACTCTTAGGTTTCATTGGCACGAGGGGCTCGAACCAGGTCAGCCTTCCAGGCGTCAGTGCCCAATGCTTGGCATCTACTGACAGAAACCAGGAATGAGGGGCTGGAGGCGGAAACAGCTTGAAGAAAGAGGTAGAGGCCAGGGAGTGAAGACGGTGTCTCCTTTTCCTGGAAGTTGGTAATTCAGGCAGAAGGAAATTGGATAAGCTTCCAGACCACTCGGGGGGCCAGGTGGCCCCGATCCCACCTCCACTGCGGAGACGCGGCCCTTTTAAGGCTCCCGGAAGCGGTCCCACAGGACCGGAAGTGACCCTCTTTATTTCTCTGCCTCACGTGGTGCGGGCAGGAAGTGACGCGCGTGGCCCGGGAGCTGCGGACGCAGAGGCCGACGGAGCTGGAGTCGCGGACGCCGCGGGGTCTCCGGGACAGGTGACCGGGGGGAGGGGGCCGGGAGCGCGCCCAGAGAAGGCGGGGCCTGAAGCTCCACGTGGCGGGGAGCGCGAACAGGCGTGGGCGGGGTGGGGAGCCGCTGGCGGGGGCGGGGTCGGAGTACTCTGCGGGGGGCGGGGACAGGACGCCCACATGGGAAGCTGGAGGGGCGCTGGCGCGGCGGGCCGTTGGGGGGGGGGGGTAGGGCCGGGGCGAGGCGGGGCGGGGCCCGAGCCTGGGCCGGCGGCTGTGGGCGGGGCCTAAAAGTTGTGGCTGGGCCGTGGGCGGGGCCATATGTTGCTTGGACAGCTATGTGGCGGGGCTCCGATGCCCGGCGGAAGCGCTGTGGGCGGGGCCAGAAAGTTTTGCCTGACTGGAAGTGGGTCCAGATTGTTGGCCGGGACGTTGGGGGCGGACCCAGAGGCTGACGCGTGCCGGGGGCGGGGCCACTACAGTGGGAGCCAGGGGGCGGGGCCAGGGAGCTGGCGGGGAATGCTGGGGGTGGAGCCAGAAAGTTTCGTCTGAGCCACGGGCGCGGCCAGAGCGTTGGCGGGGAAGCGGGGAGCTGAGCCGGAACCCTGGGGAAGCCACGGGTGGGGCCAGATGCTGACGTAACGAGGTGTGGGCGGGAGTAAGGGGGCGTGTCCAGGAAGTTGGCCAGGCCAATCGGAGGCGGGGCCAGAGGGTTGACTGGGCAGGCCGGAGGCGGGGCTGGAATAATAATAATAATAGATGGGAGGGGCGGGTCTGGGCTGTTGCCTGGGAGAAAGTCGGGAGGGGGGCTAGATTAATGGCCCATGGGTTGGGGCGGGGCTAGAGCGGTTTCCAGGATGTCGGGGAAGTGGCCCTGGCATTCCCAGCTGGATTGAGGCTGGATCTTTGCACAGAAAATCTGGGGCGGGCCTGGGTATTTTTGTCCTTGTTGGGGCTGGTGGAGTATTCAGTGGGGCAAAAGGCCAGTTCCAGGAAGCCTCGCCAGTGAGTTCTGGGCCTGTGTACAGAATTCTTTCGGGGGAGGCGGGAGGCTGTTGAGCTTCCTCAGGGTGCTGAAGACCGGGACTAGGAAGTCCCTGGGGAAGGTGTGGGCTTGGCGTGTTCTCTGAAAACTTGGGCAGCCAATAAGAGTGGGGTTCAGACTTTCTTTGAGCGTGGGATTTGAAATGTTTCTGAACCTTACCTGGCGGAGCTAGAATATTCGCCTGAATTTGAGAGGCACCAGGATGAGTACAGGGAGGTGGGTCTGGAACTTTCTTGTGTAGGCTGGTTGGAGGGGTTGTAGTTGGAACTCTCGATAGGGAACCGGGCTAGCACTCATACCACAGGGTATGCAGGCTGGACTAGAATCTGCGTTTGGAGGAGAGCAGTGTTGGATACTTAAGTAGTGGGTGGGGGCCAGAATATCCCCAAGGTGGGTTTCACTAGATTGTTTACATGGGAACTGGGTGAGTCCACAAAGATCATGAAAGGGCTGAGTCTTAATTTCTTTCTTTCTTTTTTTTTGGGGGACGGAGTCTCGCTCTGTTGCCCAGGCTGGAGTGCAGTGGCGCGATCTCGGCTCACTGCAAGCTCTGCCTTCCCGGGTTCACGCCATTCTGCTGCCTCAGCCTGTAGCTGGGACTACAGGCGCCCGCCACCACGCCCGGCTATTTTTTGTATTTTTAGTAGAGATGGAGTTTCACCGTGTTATCTAGGGTAGTCTCGATCTCCTGACCTTGTGATCCGCCCATCTCGGCCTCCCAAAGTGCTGGGATTACAGGCGTGAGCCACCGCGCCCGGCCTGCCTGGCTAATTTTTTTGTATTTTTTTTTTAGTAGAGATGGGGTTTCACCCTGTTAGCCAGTATGGTCTCGATCTCCTGACCTCGTGATCCGCCCGTCTGGGCCTCCCAAAGTGCTAGGATTACAGGCGTGAGCCACCTCACCCGGCCCATCTTAATTTCTATGGAGAAAGTAGAGCTGGCAGTTGAAGGGAGGGAGAGTGAGGGCTAGAATTCTCTTGCGGTACAGGTTTTTTTTTGTGTATGGCTGTGAGGAGCCCCCAGTATGTTAGAGGACGAAGTAGATTGGGGGGCCATTGGCCTTAGTCCTTCTTTTTCCTCTGCCCCCAGGAACCCTTAGTGCTGTGTCTAGATTCTGCAGGGGAGGTTTGCTGGGACCTTAACCCCACCGAGCCAGCGAAATGGTGAGGCTGAAAGTGGGTCTCTAGAATCTCAGTTTTGGGGAAGGGGGCTTGGGAGGATGGGATCCAGGGGGGCAGACTCTCAGACCCCAGGGAAAATCCCTGGTATGGATGGAGGTTTTTCCTTCCATCCCTCAACTGCCTCCCGGTCTCAGGCAGCCACACTCGATTTGAAATCAAAGGAGGAGAAGGATGCTGAGTTGGACAAGAGGATCGAGGCTCTTCGGCGGAAGAATGAGGCCCTCATCCGGCGCTACCAGGTGCCCTAGCCCCGCCCTGGGAGACCCCATCCCCTCTCTTCCCCGCAGTGAGTTTTTCTCACCTCTCCCTTACAACCTTTTCATGGCTCCCCATCACTGTCAGGATAAAAGCCAAAGGCCTTAGCCTGACATCCCTTCTTTCATTCCATTATTCATTCATTCATTCATTTGTTCACAAGTATTCCCCAAGAGCTTTACCATACCAGCCCCGGTGCTGAGTGGTGCTGGGGATACAGCTGTGACAGAGACAGACCCAGGCCTACCCCTCCAGGGTCCACCGTCTAGTCAGGGATGTCCCAGAGCGGACAAGTCTGGAATCAGGAAATCCAGGGGTCTGTGGGAGTCCGGAGGAGGCTCCTCCCCAGCCTTGGGGATATCAGGAAGGGTTTCCTGGAGGAGTGGACTTTGAGGCTTGAGTGGTGAGTAGACAATAACCAGTTGAGAAGGAGAGGGGAACATGTTTCAGGCAGAGAGAACAGTTTGTGCAAATGTTGGAAGCGAGAGAAAGCTTGGAGCTTCAAGTTGGAGGATTGGTTAGGAGAGAATTGACCTGGGCAGGTCAGCAGGGACTAGGCTGTGCGGGGCCCTGAATGCCACCAGGCTGAGTTTGAACTTTGTCCTGAGGGCGCTGGGGAACCAGGGAGAGCCTTGAGCAGGGGTGGGACCCGTAAGAATAGTTGTTTAGGAAGATGCCTCTGGGTGCTGTGTGGTGGTGGGTGGGAGGAGGTGATACTGGAGCCCAGTGACCGAGGAGGAAGCTGGGGCTGGAACCCTAGTAGGAGAGGAGGTACCTGGCTCAGGGCAGGGCTGTTGAGAGGAACTCAGTTGCTAAAGAGCAGTTGGGGGCAGGGGGAGGAAGAGGGAGGATTTAGGACAAGGGCGCTGAGTAGGTGGTGTGGCTGTCCCTGAGATGGGATCTGGGGGGAGGCATGGGTTTCATTTATTCATTCTTCATGAAGTCATTCATTTTATAAAAGGCATATTGAATTTCCCTTGTGGGCCAGGCAACGTTCTAGACTTGGGATACATGTCAGTGACATACATCACTGAAAGCGGACCGACATTCCTGTCCCCAGGCAGATTCTGCTGTAGTGGAGGAAGCAGACAGTGAGCAAGATGCACACGGTGCTGGGTGCAAATGGGATGAGATCAGAGAGGGTGGCAGGGAGCTGGTTTCCATAGGGTGCTCAGGGAAAGCCTCACCAGAAGGCAGCATTGGAGCAGAGACCTGCAGGAGGTGAGGGGTTGGAAGATCTCTGGGAAAAGTGTTCCTGGCAGAGGGAGCCGCTGGTGCAAAGCCCCCGAGGCAGGTTTGAGCTGGATGTGTTCTGGGAATAGCAAGGAAGCCAGAGTGATTGCGGGGCAGAGGGTGAGAGACGAGGTCAGGGAGGTACCAAGGCCAGACCCCACGGGTCCCACAGGATGTGGGGAAGGCTGTTACTCAGAGATGGGCACTACAGGAGCGTTTTGAGTGGGGCAGCAATGTGATGGGGTTTGAGGGATATGAGTGGCCTTCTTGTCCAGAGCCCAGGAGAGAGGCCTGGGCTGGGGCCAGACTTAGTCGGAGATCAGGGGTCTGTGGGAGGCTGTCTGGCGGTCAGGGCACCTGACGCTTCCCTACCCCGGGTGCTGTTCCTAGGAGATTGAGGAAGACCGTAAGAAAGCTGAACTTGAGGGAGTCGCGGTCACAGCTCCCCGAAAGGGCCGCTCAGTGGAGAAGGAGAACGTGGCAGTGGAGTCGGTGAGCTCATCACTGGGGTTAGGGATCGTGGGGATGGGGAGGGGCAGAGGGTTGAGGCCTGGGACCCAGGAGCCCCCAGCTGTCCTGCACCAGTGGGTGGCCTCCATCCTGGCCGCATGCCTGCCTGCCCCAGTGACTGTATTTTCCCCATCTCCCCTCTTCCAGGAGAAGAACCTGGGTCCTTCCCGGAGGTCTCCTGGGACCCATCGGCCCCCAGGGGCCAGCAAGGGGGGCCGGACTCCTCCACAGCAGGGAGGCCGGGCTGGCATGGGCCGAGCATCGCGCAGCTGGGAGGGCAGTCCTGGGGAGCAGCCTCGAGGAGGAGGAGGTGGGGGCCGTGGCAGGAGGGGCCGGGGCCGGGGTTTCCCTCACCTCTCTGGAGCTGGAGACACCTCAATCTCTGACCGTAAATCTAAGGTAGGAGCTAGGCAGCACCTGGAGCCCTGGCTGAGATTCTCTGTTGTCTGTTTGTCTGTTCCTCCTCTCAAATGCACAGTTGTCCTGTATGTCCATCTTTCGGCATCTGTCTCTGAGCCTCTGCCTCTGGCTCTGTTTCTCTCTTCCTTTACCACCTCCTCCTCCTCCTGCTCTCCCTCTTCTATTTCCTCCTGTTCCTTCCCTCTCTCCTCACGCCCAGAGCTCTCATGTTACTCCTTGTCGCTTTCTCTCCTGCCCGTGTTCCCCCTCTTCTCATTCCTCCCCGCCTTCCTTCGCTCCCTCTCCTGCAACACCTAGTGCTGCGTGTCCTCTGTCGCTCGCTCTTTGTCTCCCTTTTTCTGGCTTTCTGGTGCATGCTTGCCCGCTCATCCTCTGTCCCCACCTCTCCTGCCTTTCTGGCACAGTTTGTGTATCTGGTGGGCTGTCTCTTTCTGGTGTGCTTGTGGGCACAGGCTCTGTGTGTGTGTCTGGTGGGCTGTCTCTGTTTGGTGTGCTTGTGGGCACAGGCTCTGTGTGTGTGTCTGGTGGGCTGTCTCTATCTGGTGTGCTTGTGGGCACAGGCTCTGTGTGGCATTCTGTTTCTGTGTTTGTGTTGGTCCCCGGCTTTGTTTGTGGGGAGCAGTGATCTTACTGTAACTGCCTCACTCACCCATGACGTGCAGGTCAGCGTGGTGTGAGGCGGTCTAGCTGAGTGGCGGACAGCCCACCATAGACATGGGTTGAACCTGGTTCTGTGAGTTACCTGTCCTTGGGCAGCTCACTTCCCCTGTGAGCTTCTGGTTCTGGCATTTACACGGGAATAAGAAGATTCAAAAATTAGCCGGGCGTGGTGGCGGGCACCTGTCATCCCAGCTACTTGGGAGGTTGAGGCAGGAGGATCACTTGAATCTGGGAGGCGGAGGTCACGGTAAGCTGAGATGGTGCCACTGCACTCCAGTCTGGGTGACAGAGTGAGACTCCATATCAGAAAAAAAAAAAGCTGGGTGCGGTGGCTCACGCCTGTAATCTCAACACTTCAGGAGGCCAAGGTGGGCAGATCACCTGAAGTCAGGAGTTCGAG